CTCCTGCATGGTGGAGGCATGGAGGGGAGGATAGATGGTCTCTGGACATCTTGGTCTCTGTGCTAGGTGTAACTTGCTACTTTGAGCTTGGGCAATGTGCAACATAGCAATAAAACCTTCTGAGCCCTTTTCACCTTGTTGGTTTAAAACACTTTGTGGAGGTATTTATTATTATTCGTATTATTCAATGGGTGACATACAAAGGGAAGATGGACCTGTTGGTTTGGAGGTGACAAATGGGACACAAACTGGTGGCTTTCTTGGTTCCTGAACAATTAAAACTGCATTTTAGGTCTTGCTTTGCAAGATGTGAGCTTGTGGGGCAGCTTTTGCTGTGAAAGAAATGTTCAGGTATGCACAAGAAAGCTTTGCACCCAACACTGCGGGCTGCATCTGCACGGTAGGTGCAAAGGCTAGGTTCCTAGAGGGAATGATAGCTCAGCATTCCCATCTCCGTAATAAGCTTTGCAACCTTTCTGTTCTTCCTTAGCCTGTTTTCAGCACTTACAGAATGCTTAATTTTGCCCAGGACAAGCAGGCAGTGTTGTCTTATGGGACTTAAGGAATGTACCTGCCATCAAGCAGGGGTGGCTGTAAGCTCATCTGCAACAGTTTGATGGGGAGAGTTGGAGGTCAAAGCAAACATGCTGAAGTGCTGCCTGCGATTTTGCCTTCTCTTCACACTAGACCCCTACCAGCTTCTTGTGTGGTTGAGGCAGGCAGGGCTGGGCTTTTTGTAACTGTGGAGCGAGTACCCATGGGGTGGAAGATGCTTGGAGTTAAAGGCCAGGAGCTTGGTGTTGCTGGTGCGCTTCACTTCTGACGTGTTATTGCAAGTAGTGGCAGATCAAATTGAGGCATCGATTAGATCATTTATCTCCACATGCTGTATCTGTTTTCACAGGAGCCCTTTCCTGCCAGCAGCCTCTGCATTTGCAGAAACTGTTTTTAAATGTTTTTATCCAAAAGGGCAGCGCTCATTACTTCTTAGTTTGTCAAGGGGGCAGCACCAGACAGTTCTGAATGAGGTTATGGAAGCAATTTCCAAAATGTTTCCTACTGTCTGGAAAGTTACTGCAGCCACTGTAGAAGTACACTCTGCTGGGAGTGAGTGTAGTGAGGAACCGGAATGCTGCTTGGCTGGATGTGCCCCCTCTCTCACCCTTGGAGCGCAGGGGATGTCACTCTTTTGGAGAAAATAGGATGACCATCCTTACACCTCCCTTTCTAGCCCATACAATTTTGAGGGAGAAACTTCTAGTGGGAGTCAGTCCAAGACAGACCAGTTGTAGGAGCCTCAAGAGCAGCCAAAGTTAGGAAGCTTCTATCAGATGGAGTTTTGGGGAATTACCTTATACTCTGCACCTAATTGCAGTGGGCCCTACTTTCATTGGTCTAATAACAGAATTAATATTGCTAGTACAGAGTTACAATTTGTTGGTGCTTAGGCTCCTAAATCAGGGAAGAACATTCTATGTTTTTTACTGTAATCACTCTCTTCTGCTCCCCCAAAATAAATACTTTAATGCCAGGTGTCTTAGGCTGAAGGAAATACAAGCTCCTATGAATCTGTGCATGCCCTCTGGCAGCATGGCCCCTCAGCAGCCTGCTCTCTGAAGAGCTACACAGCAAGTTGGGAGCAAATATTTCCTTTTTTGGGGAGCACTGATGTGTTCCCTGGAAATTTATCAGTGTGTAAATGGTTTTCCCTGGGAGATTGAGGGATAAGATTGTGGAGAACACTTGTAGACCTCCTTGGAGGTTTAAATATCAACCACAAGACAAGCCCCTGGGACATTGGGTGTTTCTTTTTTTTTTTTTTTTTTTGTGTGTGTGTGTGTGTGTGTGTGATTCCTGGACCTCTGTTTTACCTTCTGCTGTTAAACTCCCTTCCCTTGTCCAGCTACAGCCTTCTGTCTTGCCAGTTGGCTGCTGAACTGTGAATCTGCCAGAGAACACAGTGTAGTTAAAGAAGAGGTGGATCTCCAGCACTGCTGCGTTTTCTGGTCCCTAGAAAGCTCTGTCCCAAAATACACAGATGTTTGTATGAGAAATAGCAGCTGGTCCCACTAAGAGATACTGCAGTGTGGAAATCTCTTAAGTGTGCTCATTATCAAAGGCTGGATGGGGAGCCAAAATGTTTTGGTTGATACTTTACCATTTCTTTGCTGATCAAATATGTTGAAGAAGATGCCATCGCTTCATGAATACCAAATACAAGGGAGTTCTTTTTTGTTTTATATTTTTATGATACAAAGATCTCAGAGCACAGCGGATCAGAAATCTTTTGCAAGAGCTTTAAGCATTCCTTCCTTCCTCCCCAAAGGTACTGCGTGCTGGCTGATATCCCAGTCATAAAGGCAATCACAGAGTAAAAATAAGCCAAGGCTCAGCTGTGGCACGCTGGTGTCGTGAACTAATGACGGCAGAGTTGCTGTTCTATTGCCCATAAGGGGGAGACTGTGCTTAAAAGCTACCATCCCCTGTTGTCTCTAGGAAGAGCTGCCCGTGGAGAGGCAGCTTTGCAAAGTGAAATTCCAGCTGTTGCTCAGGAGCCCAGGAGGCCAGTTGCCTCAAAGCATGCCCTGGGGACAGCACGGGTTTCCAAAGACGGAGCAACAGCAAAGGCACAGCAGAGCAGGCTGTGCAGGAAGGCTCTGCTGCTGCTCCGCGGCTTAGGCTGGAGGATGGGGGAATTTCACGCCGCAGATGTATGGGAAGGAGCTGGACCGCGTGCGGAGATGGCCTTGAGTGCATGCTGGGCTGGCAGAGCCGCCCTTCAATCCAGGCTTTTCGTCCCCCTCTTCCCCAGGCTGCCTGCAGCTTCAAGAAAACAGCTCTGCAGAAAATCAGGTTGGGAAAGGATTCTTCATAGTGGAAAGAGCTCTTTTAAAATGAATTGAACTGTTGAACTTTCTCCACTAGTCCCTGAGGAGTTTCCCATTTGCCTTTAGGGGAAGAATGAGGAAGAAGATGCAAAATTTTTCTCCTCTTAAAAGCCTCTTGCTTCTTGCTGCAGTGGCAGCCAGTTGCTGGTTTGCATTCCCTGGGTGATTCCCAGCTGTGATTGCAGGTGCCGCTCCACTAGCTCAGATCTGAGCAGGGACTTCTGAGCGGGCGGCCCATCTGAAGCACTTCACAGCAGTGGGTACAAATGCATGCTAAATCTGTTCCCTGGTAAATGTTGGAAGCATGTGAGAGCACTGAACCCCACCGAGCTGCCAAACCTTCTGTCAAGCCAGAAGTTAAGTTGTTGTAAGTCTGTGTTCCTGTTCTTTGCTTTGCAATAGCTTGTAGCGTGTCCTGTAGGAGTGTAAATATGACCGCAGCCAGGCGTGAAACACGCACCTTGAAAGCCAGAGCGCTGGGTAATGGGGAGTGTGACAGTGACTCACAGGAGCCGCTTCCCGTCAGATCAGCATGGGAGGAGTCTGGCATGTCTCTACCTGCTGCCTCGCTCTTCGCCGGAGGCAGGAGGGGTAGGAAAAGCTGCCGGGGGGGCCCTGCTGAATGTGCATTACTGTCAAGGCGAGGGAGACTGCAGAGCCCACTCCCCGGGCTAAGTACATGCTGCTGCTGTAGGAGTAACTGCTGGAGTCCCTCTGTATGGATCCAGCGTGTTACGTTGACAAGGTGCAGCTGGAAATGTAGCAGGGAATCTGCAGATTCTGGCAGGTGTTGTGGCATTTTTGCTCTTTCCTCTCCATCCTGTGGGTGCACCTCCCCTCCCCTTTCTTTACCTGCATAGTTAAAGAACTAAGGGTGCTTCCAGGGGGAGTTCTCTTTCCACTGGCGCTGATCAGCACCGTTGAACAGCACTTGCGTCTGAACTCAGCGTCTCTTAGCTGCAGTGAGGTCTTGAGAAAGCAGTCTTGAGAAAGCAGCAGAAAGGCCTCCTGGCAGGGGGAGGTGTGGGAGGCAGGAGCCTGTTAGAGTGCAGCCGAGGGAGCTGGAGTGGATTTGCAGGGTGATGAATATGAGAGAGAAAGCCCAGGATGCTGCTGCTGTGGTGTAGCCTGGCCAGGCGGGCTCTGCAGGCGTCTGTTAGTGCACAGCTCTGTGCCAAACACTCACATGGGCTCTTCTCATCACAAGCCCCTGCCTCGGCCGTTGCTTTCATGAGTCCCAAGGAGGCCAGCAGCAAAATCTCGTCTGAGGAGACTTTGCTGTCTTGCCATTTGTCTTCTCAACTGCACCCAAAAAGGAGAGTAGAAACTGAGGAAATATTCCAGCAGAAGGTGTTGGCTGTGTTTTTATTTATATATTTTTATTTTAGTTTGCATTTTGACTTTCCCAGTTATGTGCCTCGATCCTGCTAGGAGGGAAGGGAAGTATCCTGGTGCGGTCAGTGAGAGAAATGCAGCACAGAAGCAGGGCTGACCGGTGCTCCTACCACTGTGCTTGTGACACAGTGCGAGTTCAGGCATCATCTTTAATGACCTAAATGGAGCTGAGGGCTGAAGCCATTATGGAAGAAATAGGGACTGAAATGATCGATCACCACAGGTAAGAGCTGACTACAGAATTTCTAACCAGATTGAAAATGAACATGAATAAACCATCAGCTTCTACACAGCAGGCAACAAAGTCACCTAGGGCAAAGCATCGTGCAGTGCTGGTTTTAGAGGGAATCAAGAGATGCCCTTTTTGAGTAGGGTCTGGCTGGGATCTCCAGGTTTCCTGTGTCTCTGCTACCCCATCGAGTAGCCTGTTCCCAGCCCAGCTGTAGCTCCCTGTGGTGCAGGCACGAGCCCAGCCCCGTGTGTGCTGTGCAGACACCCCCATGCCTAGCACAGCACTGGTGCTTGCATTGCCCTCAACGGGCACGGGCCTCTCCGCAGGGAGGCTGCCATCGGCAGCGCCAGCAGTGCCATGCGCGGAGGGAGGAAGCACTTGGTGGAGGACCGTGACGGCTCCATGTGCGCTGGCTCAGGTGGGCGAGGAATTTCTGCTGCTTCCGTAAGCTGTTGCTGAGACCTGTGAAAATGTCTTTGTTTCAGAGCCATCATCAATCACTTCAACCCGAAGATAGAGTCTTATGCTGCGGTGAATCACATATCACAGCTCTCCGAGGATCAGGTAAGCCAGATGTGTGATGATTCTTTTCCTTTCGTTGCGACCTGGGAACATAGGCATATTGGAGCATCTCTTGCTCATTGGAGCTGGTGGTATTGCAGAAGTTTGAGGGATGAAGGGAGAAATCTTACTCCTTGCTTGGGTATGGGTGAGAAGAGAAGAAAGAAGGCTTGTCTCGGCCAGTTTTACCATCACTTGCAGGCATTTTGGTCCAGTAAATGCAGAGGGAATGATGAGGATAATGGGAGCGGAGGGAAGATGTCATGGTCTCAGCAAATATGGTTAGGGACCCAGAGGACACTAGGGTTTAGACTGGGGCAGGAAGTTGTTGGCAGTAAGCTTCCTTGTCAGAGAAATGTTAAACCTAGCTTGATTTGCTGTGGAGCGGGCAAATGGTAGATAGGAATTTTCTAGGGTAATTGAATTCAATGTCTTGAACAGCTGTTTCAGACAGATTTTGAGACTCTATTAGGGTGATAGGGTTAGGGTTTTTTTTCTTAATTTGGCTTGGTTTCCTCTCTTCGTGCCCTGCTTGTATTTCATAAATGTGTAAATGTGGTTTCTTGAACAGAAGCCTCTGTTCAAGGTCTCAGGAAGGGAACAGATGACCTATTTCCCAAAATACAGTACAGGTCGAATGTTAATCACTCTCGGAAAGGTGAATGACTCTACAGGAGCCTCTGATGGACAAAACACAGAGCTGCCATGCAAGTTAAGGGAAACCTCTCTGACAGAGCTGAGTGAGCATCTCTGGGCCTTACAGAACAGAAATTGGGTACGCCGAGTGGCACAGACACCTCAGTCAGCTTGGCTTGGTCAAGGATAGGACTCATGCACCTGCCTGTTTAAAAAAAAAAAAAAAAAAAGTCCTGACCATGTCTTCCTCTACAGTTCACTTCCCTCATTGCTTGCTGCCCTCCCTTATTACTAACCTTTCCCTGTGTTATTGTACTTGAATCGGGTGTGTGGCAAACACCCCACAACCTCAGCTTGAATGCTCTACCACTGCAGAGAAGAAATGTGGCAGCTGGTGATTTTATTCTCTTCTTGGTAGAGCCAAGTGGAAGAACACTGGTACAATTTACTCAATTTTTATGTAAAAATTGTATCTGAGAGTAACTGTACCCACAGCTATGCTCTGTAGTGGTTCATGTTATAAAGGTTTGTTCATTAATGATATACTGATTGCATCAACTCAGGCCCCTAAAAGAGAAAAGCCTTTGGTAATGCAATTTTAAACAGAGGAGACTTTTGCTTAGCACTCAGGTTAGTCTGAGAAAGGAAAGGAGCTTTAAACTGTCACTCCGTGTAGTATTCATCCCCCAGCAGCAGTTCAGGGAGGTCAGACTGAATCCTTTCTTCCTATGTGCTCTTCTTTAAAATCTCAAGCAGCAGGCACGTAATAAAATCAGTGCTGATGTATGGAGCATTTTGAGGAATATGATTAGGAAGTTGAAAGACTGTTAGATTTCTCTTTTTTTTCCCCTCTGTTCTTCATGCTTTCTTCCAGTGTAGCAAGGACATCAAACAGCAAAACAATAACAAGCCCTGGTGAACTGTAGAGACATGATGGAGATGTTACTGTACTAAGAGACTATGTGGCCTCAGGGAGGGTGTTCACTTGCCTTTCTGCAGTTTACTGCACAAGGAGAAGAGTGATGAAGAGGACTTGCTTCCACTTCTAATTAGTCAGTAGGCTCAGTTCTGTATTTGGACCAGTTTTCCCTCCATCAGTGGCCATTCCATGTGGTAGGTAGGTGACAAATAGTGGTAGGTGGCTGAAATCAAGTGGAGTAACTGAGTTTCATTCTGTTAATAATTCAGCACGTGGGGATCAAGCTTGCCTTTGGCCACTATAGTCTGTATGTCCTTTTTTTCCTTTCTCTCTCTACCTTTTGTCTCTGTGTGCACGGTCACTACGCTCGCTCAATTCCCTTTCCCTTTTCTCTCCACAATTGTGTTTTGCTGCACAAAATGCATCCTTCTTTTTTGTCCTGTTTTCTGAAGTGTACCACACTGAGGCTTTTATGGTGACACTTAAAATGTAATCATTGAACTTTTGTATCAACACACATCTTACGCTTGGGACTGGTCATTTTCTCCTACAAGCTGTTATTTCAGCAGTTTCAGGTGACTGGTATGTCTTTCTTTGGTAGGATTTGTTTTTGTAATAATGAGGATTTTTTTCTTTTATTTATTTCTTTTCTTTTCCAGAAACTAGTCGGTGGCTAGATTCTCATATGGCTGCTCATACTTTTTAGTGGTACCTGAGCATCCCCCATTAATCAGGCATGGCTTTGACACCCACCCCTATCTCAGGGATTTTCCAGCTGCTCTGAGTTTCTTCGCTTGATTCTGCCTCATCTGAATCTGCTTAGCTTGTGGACTCATACTTCAGTATGTGAAATTCGCTGTGCTGCTCCGACTGTTCCAGCACCCTGCTCATGTGTTAGTTATTTTTAAGGTTATTAAAAATAAATACAAAAATAAAAAAAAACAAGATGAGTTTTCCTCTGTTTTGTTCTTTCCTTATCTTACTGAAAGCTTGATTACCTTGTTAATCACTGATGTCCATTCGTTACTGTTCTCCATCAGTCATTTAAGCATTTTCTCTTTTTTTACTTATAGACTTAATGTTAACATTATTACATGCTGAAGGAAATCATAGGCCCATGAAAATGGTGAACATGGGACTGTTTTAAGTAAAGGAAGGTTGTTAATGAGCTGCTACCATTGCACATCTTCAGTCCTAAAGATGTCTAGGAATAGTGGTGTTACTATATAGACTGTTCTCCAGGCAGGTATATTCACAGGCTTTGTGGTACCGCTTTGTTGACTGGTGTGTAATTTATCCAGTGTTCAGATCAGAAATAGTGGGGAAAAAGCTTTTCTTTCTAATATTCTCTCAAATAAGGAGTGTTTCCTGGTTTTACTATAGGACTGGCACTACTTTTTGTTCCCCCTTCACGGAGTGGGAAATGTTCCGCTTTGGAAGCCTGGAAGTGAATAGGAGATCCCCAGGGTTGAGCAAACATCAGGGTATTGCCTATGGACTATGAGTCTTCTTAGTCTGTAAACACTGCTTGATCCTTCTCAGTGCTGCTCTGGAGAGAGTCTTTTGCCAAAGTAAACTCCTAATCTTTCCCAGTTTTTAACTATTTTGAGCTTGCTGTTGGTCCTTCACCATAAAGAATGTGTCTTTCAGTCAAAGATGTTATTTTATCAGCCTTTCCCCTTCATTTGCTAATGGGTTACATCTGGCTTTTTTGGGTGTGTATATTTATATGGTGTTTTCCCTCTCAAGACTTGTGTCTCCTGCTCACTCCTCCTGCCGAGAACTGAAAGATGCTGTCCTGTCAGAGAGACAATATTGGCTGCCATCTAGTTTTAGCTCTCCCACACGAGTGAGCATTCCCAAGTCTTCAAAAGATGTCTGGGTTCCTTCCCAAGTCAAAAGGCAGAATAACCTTTTGAATTTTGAGTTTTAAAATGAATTTCCCGGCTTATCTGTGCTTTCCAGGCTGGACCGTCTTATACTTAATACATAAGAGCAGTAGACTTTCCCTGTGCTTTCTGATTTGAGAAGCTCGCAACAGCAGAAGTAGTTAAAGGGGTCAAAGTGTCGAGAAAACTTGATGACAGAGGGCATGATGGACCTGGATAGGGTCTCACATCTGCCTTTTCTTCTGGATGTCAATGAGCAACTATTTGCAAGAAGGCAGCTCTTTGCCTGCTAGTGATGTTGCACAGCTATTCTAGAGAAGCTAAAGTGAGGGCACATCTGCCTTTTCTTCTGGATGTCAAAGAGCAGCTGTTTGCAAGAAGGCAGCTCTTTGTCTGCTAGTGATGTTGCACAGCTATTCCTAGAGAAGCTAAAGTGAGGAGAACACATTATTACTTCGGTGAAATCTCCTCTGAGCAGCAGTGTCCTGCAGTGCCTTGTATGCCAAGCAAGTCTTGTGCCAGTTTGCTGGAGAATTGCCTAGGGAAATTGCTCACTAAGGTCTCATTTTGTCCTTGGCACTTGTTCTTTCTATGATCTCTTCTACAAGGGTCTTAAAAAGTATCTAACTGAGATGGCAGGCAGGTTGGACTGCTAATGCTTGTTATTCAGAACCATCTGTGTGCTTTTCTGGTAGAAGTCTCTTTATTCCCAGCTGCAGCAGGGACGCTAGGTACCTCAGGTTTGGGAGTGGGATGAAGCTTGGTGTGAAAGACACCTGGGCTGTGTGTGTGTTAGTCCGGTAACTGCAGACAAAAAGTGCTAGGAGCCAAAGCAGTTTGTGGTAGAAGGAGGGAACAACTATTTCACTTTTGAAGTTATGACAAACGTGTACTAGGTGGCTTGTCCCACGCTGTAAAGCCCTCAGGAGTCAGACAGCTGCAATCCAGTTGTGCTCAGGCGATCTCAGAGGGCTGCCTTGCTCTGGGTGAGCTCACATCATCCTCCAGCTGCGGAATGCACTTCACTGCAGTGCTGCATGGCCACCTGTGCCCTGGTGAGGCTTTTGGGATTAATCCAGAGAGCAGCTCAGGGAGCTTCCCTGCCTTGCACAGAAAGTCACAGAACTGTGCAATAGATTTTAGATGCCCTCAAGTATTCTAATTTTATGAACCACAGCTGTCATGGTTTATTCAACTTGTCCTGGTTTCCATAACTATCAGCAAAACCACCAGCACTTACAAAATGCTGTCCTTTTTTAGCACTGCTGGCAGTGATGTTAAGAGTTAAAAGCCTGTTGGCATATATGTGATTGACTGTTGCTTTTAAAATGCTGAGTACCATCAGTGCTAAGTACTACTATAATAATTCCTCCTAATCTCTTACATTAATGCAGCATGTTGTGAGGACTGCAGGAATAATTTAAATGGTTTGGACGTAATGCTAGTTCACTTCTGAAATGCAGCGGGCTTTGGGGCAGAAAGTATCAATGCTCACTGGTGCAATATTACACACAGCAGTGGGTATGTGCAACTCCAGGAAGGGCTAAGGGGCAGCATAT